CCTTCTGAGTCTACAGGGGCCCTAAGTCCTGGGCAGCAGCCAGCTCCAGGAGGTTCGTGACCGAGCCCTTCTCAGTAACTGTCCCAAAGATGCTAAGATACAGGCTCACTGAGCACTTACCCATCGCAAGCACCATGTTAAGTGCTTTGCATGTACTGCCACAATGAATCCTCCAGTAATCCTATGAGATCAGCATCCCCATAATCCCCATGGAGGTTGAACAACTAGGTTAATGTCATGCAGGGGCTCAGTGGCAGAGTTGGGATTTCACCAAGGAAAAGGCCAAGTGTTGTTGAGGTTATGCAAGAATTAAGAGACCTATGAGGCAAATGTCTTGTTTGGATTCTGGGTCAAACCAAACCTAAGAAAGCATTTCTCGATAAATGGACGTAGTCTGGACGTTAGGTGGGAGTAACTGTTCGTTTTGTCAGATGTGCTAACTGAACCGTGATCACATTAAAAAGCGATCCTTATCTGCTAGAGACACAAAATGAATTATGTTGAATTTGATTGACTCATTACAATGAACACGTTTAAATATAATAAGTTTTGAAGGTTGATTAAAAGGATGATTACACCCTAACTGAATCTGGTTTATAAGTGGAGCAGCCAAGTTCTGCTGAGTCCGAGAGGCCGGGCTGACCTCTCTTCCCTGGACACGCAGGGCGGGAGGGGTCTTGTTCTGAGAGTCGTGCTGCACCCAGTGAGTCCACAGGAGAGCTGCCACGCTCCAGGGCGTTTTCTGTAGGAAATGCTCCCATTGTACACGTTTTACACATCATTGCGAGGCAGTAAGCGTGGCAGCCTGGGGAGACCTTATTCAGGTGTTTTATTCACTCTTGCTTAGGAACTACTTCTGTTGAAGATGCCACCCAGGCCTTCTGAGTCTACAGGGGCCCTAAGTCCTGGGCAGCAGCCAGCTCCAGGAGGTTCGTGACCGAGCCCTTCTCAGTAACTGTCCCAAAGATGCTAAGATACAGGCTCACTGAGCACTTACCCATCGCAAGCACCATGTTAAGTGCTTTGCATGTACTGCCACAATGAGTCCTCCAGTAATCCTATGAGATCAGCATCCCCATAATCCCCATGGAGGTTGAACAACTAGGTTAATGTCATGCAGGGGCTCAGTGGCAGAGTTGGGATTTCACCAAGGAAAAGGCCAAGAGAGCTTGCATGGGTGCTGGAAGGTATAGCCGTGCCAGCTGTGGTTAAGCATCGACCACTGAATCAGGAGGTCACGGTTCGATTCCGGTCATGGCACATGGCCAGGTTGCGGGCTCGATCAATAAAATACATCAAAAGAAAAAAAAGAAAAGAAGACAAGACAGAGCTCAGATGCAGCCCTGCGCTCTTCCTCCCGGGAGCTACTTACTGCGTTCTCAGGGTGGAAGATGTACGAGGCCGGAGAATTGTCCACGATGATCACTTTGCTCAGCTCCCGTCCCAGGCGACTCAGGTCTTTCACGTAGTTCCCTCGATGGAAAACACAGGATTCTCTGAAGAGCCGGGCCCGGAACACACCCCAACGGTCCAGCAGGTCAGCCACGGGGTCTGCGTACTGGAAGGCAGGTGTTGCCAATGAAGGCTGGCGCCCGGGAGCCCAGAAACCCTGACCTACCGCAGCCTTCCTCTTCTCAAGAGGGATTTACACCCGCGAAAGTTTCAGGATCCTGGTTATTTCCTCCGTGTGTGTGAGACACCCTGGGTTCTTCCATTTCTCTCACTTCCCTTATCCAATCCATCAGGAGTTCTTGTCCATCTCCTCGCCCCTCTACCGCAGGCTCCCGGCCCTCACCCAGTCCTCGAATCCAGCCTGGGGTGGCCTCCGCTTCCCCTTGGCCTCCCTTCCAGCCACTCATTTGCAATAAGGCCTGCGCTCCTCACCGCCAGCCCGTCAAGCCTGCAGCTGCGTGACCTCTCCGCCCCACCTCGCATCACGTGAGCCACAGTGGCTTTGAACATAGTGAGAACCCGGGCTCCCTCTGCCTGGAACCGTCTCTCCCCGGCTCTCTGCATGAGCCTCTCCTGCACCCTCATTTCTCAGGCCTTGGCATCCCTCACCACCCGCCGAGGGTCCTCCTGCATCTTCCTTGCGGATAATGCTCCATTCCTCACAGAGCTTATCACACGTAGGATTGCTTTATTTTCTCTTCACTGTCGTGCTCACCTTGCACCTTGCAGAGTGCCGACCCCATGGTGAGGGCTCGGTAAATATTAGTTTCAGCCATGAACAACGAATGAGCTGACATTTATGTATGTATGTGTGTATTTATTTTGGAGCTGACTTTTAATTGGGCTTGTGTGGCATGAAGCCACACTGCCCCCTAGAGGTGCTCTGGGCAACTGGTCTGCCCAGCCCCTGACTGTCTTAGGATGGGGCCCAGACACCAGGAGTTGATGGGAGGGAGTCTGAGCCCCGCCTGCAGCTGGGGATCACCCTGCCTGGTCCTCTCTCACGGCCTGGGCAGTTTTCCCCAACAGGCTGTGGAGAACAGTATGGAGTTTCCTCAAAAAACTAAAAATGGAACTTCCATTTGACCCAGTGATCCCACTTTTAGGAATATATCCCAAGAATCCAGAAACACCAATCAGAAAGGATATATGCACCCCTATGTTCATAGCAGCACAATTTACCATAGCTAAGATTTGGAAACAGCCTAAGTGCCCATCAGCAGATGAGTGGATTA